TGTTAATTTATAAATATTGAATTGAGTACGCTAGTATCTGAATTATTAAATGTACAATTGCAAGCATCATTATCATCAAATCATGCGAATTTCAAAACTCAAATTGAAACTCAATCTGATTACTACATTTAATGCTTATTGTTTAAGGTATTTCAATTCAAATTTTTTCTTTTTTTAATTTTAATCTAGCTTTAGTCAATCATTAATATCTAATTAATATTATTAGGCAAAGACAACAAAAAAGATTGTGCTAAGAATGGAATGCAGTGAATGCAAATGCAGGAAACAGCTTCCTATAAAACGCTGCAAACATTTTGAAATTGGAGGAGACAAAAAGAGAAAGGTATTTAAGTGTTTTTTTTTCCTCCCCAATTCCTATTTCAAATATTTTTAATTCAAAATTGTTTTTCCTTTCAGGGACAAATGATCCAGTTTTAGAATTTTGCAGTTTATTCATTAAATATGTAAAAAATAAATATTTCATGGAGAAACTGTGTTGTTTTCATTATAAAAATAAAACATACATAGGTATTTCAAATCTGTTTTAAAGTCTTATCACATCTGACTTAATGATTCTTATTTTTCTAAAATGATTTTTGGTTTATAACTGATGAATACTATATTACACAAATACGTGCACTTAGCATTTTTTATCCTCTTAATTTTTGTGCATTTTTTAATTTATCAATCAAATTAGATTGATTCGTACCATATTTTATTAATTGTTTTGATGGAAAACTTAAATAAATAAATAAATAAATAAATAAATACAGACATATGGATAAACTTGCCAAAAATCTAGTCATTAGAAGGGGGATCTTATTCAACATTGTCATTTAATTTTTTCTTCACATCTTGTTCTTAAAAAATTTTTGTTTGCAAATTTCCAATTTTTGGTAGATAACTGATTTTTTGTTTGGTAAATGGCTGCACTGTCTTTGCTTTAAAATTTTTTTAAAGCTTCCAAAAGGATATTGGGTGGTACAATTCAGTATGCATCAGTTCCAGCCAGAAGTAATGCACTTCTGAACAGTTTTTACTGGAACACCTGGCAACCTAACAAAATGGCAGAAACAAGCAGCTCTACATTGGCCGTACAGAAGTTGACTTATAGCTATCCAAGTTTTAAATAATTTGTCTCTACAAAAATAACATTTCCATTCGTGACATGTTATCCACTTACTATCAGTGACATAGCCCACATTTCAATTAGACATTGTAATGTTTTTAATCATAAAAAGTAGCTTAACAAACCTGACAAAAATGGAAACATTTCATTGTGAAGATGTTTAGTTTATTTGCTACACACTTTAAAAAACAAGCAATTAATACAAAATATTTTTTTAGTGGTCAAACCTTTTGACTATTTTAAGTATGTATGACAAACAGTCAAAATAGCATTGTGAGGAGTTGAATCGGAATCTTTGTGCAAGATTTCTTTGTCGGAATCGACAAAGAAATCCCGAAGAGGAAACCACCTTCCGAAAGAATGAAGAAGCAATTACACTTGGCGAAAATATCGAGCTCCAGATCATCCAAGGGGAAATTCCTCTACCTGACCGGACTACTTAACAGTGGTAAACGTTAAACTTATTCTACCCCTCCACTTCGTACTATTCTTCCCTTCCAGTTACTAACCTAGCCATCCCTTCCGCCTTTAAACAACAAGGACAGCTACGATAATCTCTTTTTGCTTTTTGTAATCATATAGGTGCATGCTCATTAATACATTAATATAGAAAGTAATGGACATTAAGACATTAGCTTTAGTTGAAAAAAAACACATTGAGAATCTTTCAGGATTGATCCTATGGAAGGAACATCGAATCGAGGAATGAGCTACAAGACTGTAGACAACGAAACTGCAGAGCTCGCCTTTCTACGAATGGTGGAAGGAGTGGCCGTAACTCAACGAGAATAATGGAAACCTCTCGTTATGGCCGTCTTACTGCAAGATCACATAATTAATTCTGCAGAAGCTTATAAATTTAATATACAGCAACGATGGGTGTGGGTGATGAGTCATCTGAGGGAGGCTGGGAAAAGGGGAGAACTGAGGCCGGGGGAATACACTTCCGTAGCACCGGAACTATTCGGAGCCTTCGACAATGATACCGACCGCCAAGAAGTAAAGAGCAAACAGTTCCCATCGCCTTCGCCTCCTGCATCAACCTTAACGATTTCAACGTCGGAGTCAGAGTCCGAGGACTCATCCCCCACATCGTCTCCACCGCCAAAACGAAGACGAAGATACAATCGCCACCACAGTTCATTGTAACTTTATAGTTATAGTTATATAGATTCATAATCATTAAGTATTAATAAAGAATTTTTCCTTTTTATTATGTTGTACTCTGGAGATATTAATTCATACTTCCACATTCTTATTTAAAGAGAGAGCGAGCAAAAGAAAATTTTTTTTGAAGAAACAATCCCGCTATGACAACCTCGTTCCTCCTCCTCTCTCCCCACTAACCTCCAGGAAGCTTGTCTTCACTTCGCTGCCAGTCAACGCGAACACCTGGAGAATATAGAAGAATCAACTAGTCTCAATCCCGATATACGACTTAACTTTTCCGTGATGCTCCCGAGTTCCGTCGCTTCCCGAATACTTCGACTTATATTAGGAACTCTTGAACCTTCACCCTTATCACACAGTCGAAGTCAGAATCTGGAACATGTTCCCTTAGAACATGCCTCCCTAGCTCCTTATCTGGAAATTGAGAGACACCGTACCGGCGGCAGGAATACTCCTCCCCGTCAGACAAGATCACCTCTTACTTCAGCTTCACGGACTTCATCCTATCCCGAAAGATATACACAGACGGGAGACGCCGAAACTAAAAGTGATTCTCCACATTTTCTAAAATCACGACACCTTTAGGACCGGTATGATTTTCACTCAGTTGTAAGGTATTCTCCAGCAGATGATTCTTCACTTTTTTTCTTATTAGGCAATATGATTTGCAAGTCAAGAATTTTAGACTATCAGTGTTGATTCAAATTCAGTGTTCTTATCTATGGATGACATAGAAGGACGATTTCGCTTGCTTCATTGGTCAGCTTGACAGGCAAATTCCTTTTACCCATTTGATACTTCCTCTAGTTGATTTCTCTCATGCAAACTACTGTCGTGCAGTTCAAAAAGGCAGTCAAAGGGGTCAGAATTCTCCGTACCCCTTTTGAATTTGGCAGGGTCACCGCTAAATAGGTCCGTAACTTCAATCTTTCTTGTATCTTGTTTACGGACCTCGTTCAGTATACGTTCCGTTTAATTGAGTTAAAATACTTCTCTAGGAATTTTTCTTTCTTGTCCTTCTCTCCGGGAAGTTATGATGTTGAAAGCTAAAATGTAAGATTTCACATCAGCTCTAACGTTTTAGAAATCGTTCTCGAACTTGTTCCGAGTAGAAGCCACAACAACACTCCGTTCGCTAGGACGTTTCCCTCCTAAAAGAATACAATATACAACTCTAGGTGTTCTGTGGTGTGTTCATTAATTGATCGCCAATAAGGTCATCCATACTGACAACGGCAAGAGAATCATTAGCAAAAGGTTTTGTTTGTTTTTTTTTGTTGTTGTTTAACTATCCAAGAAAATTACTAGGCACACATTGGACGCCAGTCTGATCCTACCTTTTTCATTGGGATACTATGTCTAGAGCTAGAACAGTGTTTCTCAACCTCTAACGAATCGTCGCCCGCTTCAACGTACTATCGCCCCTTTCACTACAAAATACCGATGCCGAGGGCCAAGACTAACGCCAAATTCGTACTGCATTGAATAGACTAGTCTCATAAGGAACTATTTGCCCTGCTCCGCCTATTGGCACTACAGGGTTTAAAGAGACTATGCGTTGTTCATCGACTGGTCGGTACCTGACACGGTAGACAGGGACGTCATAGCTGGGCCCTATGATGCATCATCCGGACTCCCGTCCGCACCCCGGCCCAGCTCACTAACTTGGCATAACTTTTGTTTGTGCAGCCTGTACTGCACTATTGGTCCACACTACTAAATCTGTTCCAGCTCACACAAATACAATATACAAATTACTCAAACTTATGTCTGCGTATAGCAGGCATACGGACAGCGGGGCCCTTGCTCCAGAAGGAGGGGGCCCAAATAAACCTTTCGCTCCTATAGATCAAATAGATCTATGATTTTTCCCATCAATTCCTTTAGTTTCTTAAGGTTCCCTTTACTAGCTGCTAGCGTTCGAAGTACTTGTTCAGGGGGCTTAAACCAGTCAACTTGGTCTGCCTCTAGGCGGAAGTCCCTTGTTAAGGGACAGTCAAGTACGTAATGCCTCGCGTCGCCGCGAGGACTGCCACAGGGGCAGCTACCATCTCCTTGTCCGAATTTGGGCTTGGAATAGACTAGTACTAGTATAATGTTATTTGTTTAATTAATTATTGTACGATATAACGAATAAAATATCTACCGTGTTTCCCCGAAAATAAGACCTAGCATAGGTTTTGCTGAATTGCTAAATACGAGGGTAGGCTGAAAAGTAATGCACACGTGCTTGTAGAGCACAAACGAAATGATTTTCAGAAGCGTGCCAGGTGGCATATGGAAGTAACAGTCTCCCTCTGTGTGTATGAGCAGTTTGAGATTGTTACGTTCATTCAGTATATTTTGAGAAGCGGAAATATGGAGACATGTTCTGATGCTATGTCAATGCCAGTTAAACAGCGTGCTGTAATCGAATTTTTAACTGCTGAAAAAATTACATTTAAAGGCTGTTTATGGTGACGATACTGTTGATAGGTCTATTGTAAATTGATGGATAATAAAATTTCGTGGTTGCGAGCCTGGAAAAGCCATAATTGTTTATGAAACACAACGGAAGTCCGATCACTGCCACAGACAATTACCGTTGCACCTTGTTGCAATGTTTAATTCTTCTCAGTACATACAGACTCTAAAACACCTCTGACGTTGAGTTTGTCATGTGAGAGGCAGCCTGGCACCAATAATCTTGCAACATGACAATGCTCGTCCACACACCTCGCGCGCAACTGGAGAGGCTCTGCGAAACCTGAAGTTTGAACCGATTCCACACCTTATTCCCCCGATCTTGCGCCTTGTGATTTTTATTTGTTTTCTCTACTTAAGAGAGATTTCAAGGGTAATCATTACACCTCAGACGATGAGGTGAAGGCAGCTGTCAAGTCCTGGGGTGCGTTCTTTTATTCCTCCGCGCGAGCGACATCCGTTTAATTGAAAATTCCAGCGGAACGTGTTCCTAAATTCCGGTCGGAGTTCATGCCGTCGAACGGCAAAAACGGCCGCTTGTAGTAGTAGTTTACGGTGTAAAGCAGGGGTGTCCAACCTTTTTGTTTCTCTGGGCCGCGTTAGAAGAAGTCAAGGAGTTTTGGGCCACCAGCAGTAGCGTAGCGTAGGGGGGCGGCAAAATTTCACAATAAATAATAATAATATCTTGTAAGAATTTGTACCATTTTTTTTCATATTTTCGTCCACCTA